TCTGCCTCTCTCCCTATCCTCTCTCTCTCTCTCCCTAGCCCCTCTCTCTGCCTCTCTCTGTCTCTGTCTCTCTCACAGTTACTTTCTCTCTCTCTCTCCCTCTCTCTCTCTCTCTCTCTCTCCCTCTCTCTCTGTCTCTCTCTCTCTCTCTCTCTCTCGGAGGTCCCACTCAGGGGTCTTCATCCTTTGTCACGTTGTTACCTTTGGGCCCTGCCTTTCCAGGGATGCCAGGTGGACCTTGATCTCCTGCAAATCCAAAGACATCATTTAGCACAATACAACCTAAACGATTGTACTTGGGAAATTTTGCCCCGAGTAGTAAGAGCCCAGCTGCCTCCTATTCTAGCTCCTGATGAACCCCTGGGACTCGGAGCCGGGGGTGACCACGGGTGGGGTGCCGCTTGTCACGGTTGCAGCGTGCTGGTCAGAGCCGCCTGGGCAGTGAGTTCTGGCGGCCGCGTGGGCATTGCTGTCTTGCGTTTGCTCTTTGGGTACACCCTGGGTGGGACCCTCTTGGACCACAGACCCAGGTCCCTGCCCTCCAGAGCGCTGCTGTCTAATGAGGGACAGGACTAGAACAAGGAACACCCCTCAGACTCCTAGTCACACCAGATCCCCATGAGGGGAGGGATGCTCTGTGCAGAGGGTCCTGTGAGGGAGGGGCTGGATCTGTACTGTTCCCAGGCCTCCAGACTCCCCAGAGGCTGGGATGGGAGACCCTCCCTCGATGCAGGTTCTGAGGGACACCAGGAGTGTTACCAGTACAGTGTGTGGAAGACGAGACGCCCTGAGCACGGATCTCAGCCAAGCTCATTTTGGGGCTAGGGGCACTGGGTGTATCCTGAAGCTGATCCAGGTTCAAGTCCAGCTCCACCCCTCACCAGGGTGAGGACTGGGGAAAGGTCTGTAACTTCCCTTGGCTGGGTGTCCTCACCTGTTGCAGGTAGAGGAGATTCACACCTAGGGCTCAGGTGAGAAGGCGGAGGAACGAGGAATTGGAAGTCCAGTCAGTGTCCACAGAGAGCGGAGGCGGATCAAGACCGGACATCGCTGTTCCGCCCAAGCACGCCCACTGAGCCGCCATGAGGAATTAGGACACGGCTGCTCTCCAGGTGCTTCCCGGACCTCAGCTGAGCCCTGGGTGTCAGCTGCTAACAGGGCTGTAAGCAGCGCCAGGACCCAAGCCCCCTCTCTGAGAGCCACCTGGGGCATTGCCCACCTTGGGATCTGATTTAGGAAGAGCAAGAGGTCAGCAGCCCACACCACGACCCAGCACATACCTCTCCCTCCTTTGGCGCCTGCTTCTCCCTTGGGCCCTGGGGCTCCAGGCACCCCCGGGCAGCCTCTGAGAATGCTGAGCTTGTCGGAGCCCTCCAGACCCACCATCTTCACCTCTGAAGAAAGACACAAGGGGCCTGTCAGCACGGGCATCCTGGGCCAGAAAGGCCCTGCAGAGCTGGCAGACAGGCCGCCCATGAGTGACTTTGCCCCTCAGGGACAGTGGGTCAGGGCAGCTGCCAAGACGCCAGCCAGTGTCACAGCCTCAGCTGGAGGGTCAGCCCGGGAGCGAGGCGTCCTCGCTGTAGTGGGGGCTGGGCCTCTGCTCCCCCTGGGGCAATGGGCAGTGAAGGCCGGAGGGCTGGACTAGGGGCAGGTGGAGCCTGAGGGAGAATCTGGCACCCCAGTCACTCAACCCTCTGAGCCTCCGTCCCCTCAGCCTCAAAGTGGGGATAATAATAGGACAGTGGGGGAGGATTAGATCAGACAATGCAAATTAAGAAAAAATCTTATATAACTCATGACATTCAGAAACAGCTCCATAAACAATGACTAGTTTCAATAAATAACAACAATCATTATTTGTAAGGAACTTGGGTCACCAGGCATTTCCAGTCCCAGAGCTTGGGAATGTAATCAAGCAATTACAGAGCTGGAGGGTTCCTCTAGGTTCCCCTAGAGAGGGGAGGTCACAGAGGGACAGCAAGCTAAGGCAGGAATGGAGCAAGTAGAGGCTTTATTTACTTCGTTTAAAAACTATTCTTAAATTTGTTGGTTACTAAACAAACATAAGCTCCTAAGAGAAAACTTGGAAAACATGGAGTGAGCATTGCTCTCATGGAGACAACAAGCAGCCACCACTGGGGATGCATCTCCTTTCAGTCCTTCCCGCCCTCCTTCCACGAGACCTCCTTCCACGATGTACTATTGATGCCTGCTCTATAAATGTCATCAGACACCTCTGGAGGTGGCCGGCTCTGTCGTTAGGAAAAACGTCTCACCAAGAGTGGTACAGAGCCCCTGCCCCAGGACCATGAGGCAGCTCGCCGTCCCCCTTCCGAACACTTGCCCTCATCTACTGACTCCAACTCCTTGGGACAAGTGCCCAGAATCTGCATTTACAAAAATTATTATGGTAAAATATATAGAACAAAACAGTTGCGATGTTAACCGTTTTGGGGGTATTCAGTTCAGCGACATCAATGACAATCAGCGTATTGTACTTCCATCACTACTGTCCACTTCCAAAAGATAGAAGTCAGCGTTCCTAACCACGCCCTCCATGTGAGTTTGAGAGGCATCGCTTTGGAGGATGCTAGAATGCCCTCCAGGGAGCCCACTTCCTTGCATTTAAGTGCCTGCAAGTCGATTCCAATTCATGGTGACCCTTTGTGTGCAGAGTAGAACTGCTCCGTAGGGTTTTCAAAGCTGTGACCTTTTGGAAGGAAATTGCGAGGTATATCTTCTGAGGCTCCTCTGGGTGGCTTACAACCACCAACCTTCTGGCTAGAAGTTCAGCACTTCACCATGTGCACCCCCCAGAGAGTCCAGGAGGATGAAAAGGTAAACACTTATACCCCTCCTCAGTGGCAGAATCGAGCCTGTCTGTGAAGCCTCATGGTGCAGAACATGGGCTCCAGAGCCAGAGAGACCTGGTTTTCAGTTTGCTCCTTCCCTCTCGGCTGTGTGGCCTTGGACAAGTCACTCAGGCTCTCTGGGCCTCAGACTCCTCATCTGAGGATGAAACAGAGCTGCTGGGAGTCTTGGGAAGAAGATGGCTGCAAGGGCTCAGCTCAGTGCCTGGGACGCTCTGAGTGGCCAAGGCGTGATGGTTATCAGCTTTTAGGGACCAGAAAACTGGATCGGTCTCACCTGGACAGGTGTCAGCAGCCTGGACAGTCAGGGCCTGGAGGCTCAGGAACAGAATGAGGTGGACAGCGGGCCCCAGGGCCATGGTGGCTCTGCTCAGCTCCACCACCGCTGGTCTTTGACTTCAAAGAGGCTTCCAGCTCTTATAGGGCTGGGGAAGCAGCCCCACCCTTGGGCTGTGATTTCTCAACTCCCATGGGGACACTACTTCCTATACATTGTTCGGTTGCCTTAGCAGGAGGCATGACATAGCACCCAGCAAGCTGCACCTTCACTGGACTCCTTCCTCCCAGCAAGGACACCCTGCTCCCCGACAAGAGGCTTCAAGGCCCCTCTGGGGAAACAGTGTGTGGCTTAAGGAGAGCCCAGCCTCCACCTCGCCTCTCATCCCCAGCTCTGCCCAAATAATCCCCTGAGGCCCCCACCCTGGATAAGGAACGGTTTGCTGCAGATATTTCTCCCCCTCATCTGAATTCTCAGAATACTAAGGGTGCTTGGTGTAAAGGCAGGGAAAAATTTTGAGCGCCGCAGTAGTTAAGAGCTCGGTTGCTAACTAAAATGTCGGCAGTTCAAACCCATCAGCCGTTCCTTGGAAACCCTAGAGGGTAGTTCTACTCTGTCCTACAGGGTCCCTGTGAGTCAGAATGGACTCGATGGCAACTGGTTTTGTCATGCGTGAAGTACTAATTACATCTTATAATAATTACACCAGCCCCTTTACGTGGGTGCTATTATTTGAGTCTTATGGGTAGAGAAACTGGCATCACACAACTAGTAGAAGCCAGCGGTTGGACTCAATCCTACCTAACTCACTGAGGATTACTGGGTTGTTCATTTCTTCTGAAGCTGGGAATACGTCTTAGTTCCCCCAATCCTCGAGGCTATATTCAATATCTTGTACTGTGAATACTGGACAGGCTGAACAAGTTGTGGGCATCTTGTGAGCAATTTCTGGAGCTGCTTGGACACTGTCACTAAGGAGAGGAGGCTGGTAAAAGGAGAGGAGGAGCAGAGAGAGAAACTCCTTCGTGGTCCGATGTTGCTCTGGGCCAGTGTGCTGGCCTGGGCTTCCAGCCACAAACTGCACGAGTAGCAAGAAGCAGAGGCAGGGGGAGACCGTCAGACCAGAGGCTTAGCAAGAGGGAGGGTGGTTCAGGGTCACAGGACCTTGGGTGCCAGGCTCTGTGGGAAAAAAAAAAAAAAAAAAACAGTTAATCAGTTGCCTTCTGGTCAACTCTGACTCATGGTGAGCTCATGAGTGTCAGACTAGAACTGTGTCCCATAGGATTTTCAATGGCCCATTTCCAGTGCTTTCTTCCAAGGCACCGCTGGGTGGACTTGAACCTCCAACCTTCCAGTTGGCAGCCGAGTATTAACTGTTTGCACCACTCGGGGACTCCATACAGGTAAAGGGTAGGGGAATAAAATCCCAGTGAGCCTTGGGACACCAGCAGCATGGGAAGCAGGGAAGGAGACTGGAGGTAGGGTGAGGCTGTCTTATTATTTGAGTCTCACAGGTGCAGAGATTGGAGGCATACAGCTAATAGGAGCCAGCTGTTGGACTCAGGTCTACCTAAAGAGAGGGTGGGTGTTCAAGTGTTGCCATTTCATGTGACTCAGACAGTACCTTGTCCTGCTTTGGTTTTTAGGAATTATTGTAGACTCATCTTGCGCTACCTAATACAACTACAACTTCTCGAACTCAAAGATAAGGTGGAGGCTTGGGCATCTCTACACTAGGAGAACCCAGCATGCAGCAGGCCCTCAGTGAGACTCTTCTCAGAGCTGTTGATCGTCGGGAGTGCTGACCAGCTCTTGTCCTTCCAGCCCTCAGTTGGCATGCCTTCTCGACCCCATTAGCAAGGGAGGCTGTGGGGACTTCAATGGACAACATCGGTGAGCACAATTGGCACACAGCACCCATCTCTCCGTGCCAAATGGAAGATGGGGAGAGTGCTGCTTCTCACTTGGGGGCCGACGCAACCTCTGAGAACTTCCAAGGACAAACTTCCCACTTGATGGCTCTTTACTTGTGTTTTCGGGGCCACTGATCATCTATCTTCAGCTCCTAGTGCTGCTGTAACAAAATATACCATGAGATGGTGAATTTAAAGAACAGGAATTTATTGTCTCCATAGTTTTGGAGGCTAGAAGTCCAAATCAGGGCGTCATCTCTAGGCAAGGGTCCCTCCCTGTTGGTAGCCCCAGGTTCTGGATTGATCATAGACGTATCTCCACATGGCATCTGTCTTCCCTCTATGTGCTTGTCTGTCTGTGTCTGTTTTCCCTTTCTGTAAGATACCACTCAGAACTGATTAGATTTAGGATCCACCCTATGCCCGTATGACCTCAGTAACATAATAAAAGAAAACCCCTATTTCTAAACAGTGTCATGTTCACAGGTACCAAACCCACTGCCATTGAGTCAATTCCAACTCATAGCGACCCTACAGGACAGAGTAGAACTGCCCTCATTGAGTTTCCAAAGAGCACCTGATGGATTCAAACTGCTGACCTTTTGGTTACCAGCCGTAACACTTAACCACTACACCACCAGGGTTTCCTTCTCAGGTACAGGGGTTAGGATGTCAACATATCTTTGTTGGGGGACACAAGTCAATGGGGAGCCCATGCTGGTTCCTACACTCCCCCACCAATTCTTTGCACTTTGGCTTTCAAAATGTGGCCAATGATTTTGAATAGCTTGGCAAGGCTTGTGAGTTTGAAGGCTTTGCTCTATGTAAACCACCCATTCATAGCCTTTCACCATTTCTTTCTATCGGGGTTGTTACCTTTCCATTGTTAACGCCACGTCTGTTCCAGACACTGATGACTTGCTGGCTTAAGACATTGCAAATATCTTCTTCCATTCTATCAGCACTCCACTGACTTTGGCCTTACAGCTTTTGGCCTTTTAATTTTTGCTTGTAAAATTTTGTTTGAGTTGTGTCTCTTTAACCATCTAGCTGTCTGTGCTATCCCCCGTTGGATTTGTAGGACCATCGTTGTGGTGAATTAAGATCGCACACGTCGGCCATCAGCTGTGTCCCTGAGCTCCTGGTTCTAGTCATTGCTCTGGTGCCAATTCCTCACGAAATTTATTTCTGCATCGTTGCAGGATGCCTTAATGTCTCAGGGCAAGTGTGCCTTCTTCACTCTTCTTTAATTAAGTTGAATTAGCTATTTGGGGACCTTATTCCTCCATATAAATCTTAGATCACTTTTATTGAGTTCCTCAAAAAAATTTTGATTGGGATTGCATTGAATATATGGATTAATTTGGAGACACTTGACATCTTTATAACTTTAGGTCTTCTCATCCAAGAGCATGGCTTTTTTCTGTTTATTCAGATCTTCTACATCTCGTGGCAGAGTTTTAAATTTTCCTCTACAGAAGGCTGGTGTATTCCCAGTTAGGTTAATTCCTTATGGTTTCTGTTCCTAGGGTGGAGGCATGTTTTTAAAATTATATTTTCAAATAGACTATCGCTGGTGAAAATAAATGCTGTTGACTTTTGTGGGTCAATATCCAATATGTCTGTTGACTCTTGTTTTTTCTATGTAGACCATCCAATCAGAAAGAGCCTCAATGACTCCATGAAAATGGAGCCCAGATTACTAGCAACAGAACAACTGGTTTCCTTTTTTTCTACCTTGGGAAGAATGATTCTTAAAGAATAAGCAAACACAAAAACCACGAACCCGTCTTCTCTCTGGTACAGTCTGTGAGTCCACTTAGCATCCTGGCACACCTCCCCCTGCTGCACACCAGGTCACAGGTGAGGCTGCTTCTGCTTGCAAGGAACTCACAGGAATGAGTCTGTCTTCTGTTTCTTCCTTCCAGCCTTGGCATCGTTAGCTCCTGTCTCTCCCTGGAGTGGCACAAGCATACCCAGTCCCTGCATCTGATGTCAAACTTCTCTGGAGGACAGGTGTTTCTTGGCCATGCACTGTCCCTGACTCACGTGCTCTGGGGGGTGGTGCGCAGGGGCAGCCTGGGCCGGGGGAAATAGGAGAGAGAAGGCTGACCTCCTGTCCTAGCTCTCTGGCTCGCTCCGTGCAGCCTTGGGTCCACCCTCGCTTGTCTGAGCCTAGTTTACCTCTGTAAAGTGAGGAGTGTAGACTGGCTGTCCTTCTGGACAGTTCTCTACTGAAGCTGGAACTTCCTCCATGACCCCAGGCTGGCTAGTTGCTCTGATTCCAGAGTCCCGGGCCCTTCTCCAGCAGGGCCCCGAGCTGCTTCTGGCTGTACTATTATAACCGTCGTTGTTGTGAGTTGCCGTCAAGTCGGCTCCAACTCATGCGACCTTATGATCAACAGAACAAAACGTTGCCTGGTCCTGCGCCACCTTCACGATTGTTGGTAGACTTCTGGAGAGCCCAGAGACCCCAGGATTCTTGTATCGGGATTCTGCTTGGGGAGAAAGATCCAGGTTCTGCAGGAATTGGGTCGCTTGTCCACAGGGTGGTTTATCTGGATCCCTGAGGTGAGTGGAGCATCAGGAGCTCAAGAGGAGGGAGTGGACAGCATCCCTGGCCCCCGGAGACCCAGCACCCAGGCCTGAGACTTGGGGGCAGGGACCATGGCCCCGAAGACCCTAAAGGGAGTGTCCTCTTTGACTGCCTAATGGGGTGGGACGGGCAGGAGTGAGAAAGTTCCCCCAGCCCTCTTCTCAGCACAGTCACCTGTGCTCCCCGCCTACCCACAGGCTGACAGTGACACCTGCCTCTGTGAAACCCCCTTTCAGCTGCAAATGACTCTGAAGTGGTTAGCGCGAGACAGAGGCTGGCTCGGCCAGCTGGGAGGGAAGAAAAACTCATTCTCACAGCAGCCTGGAGGTCAGCTGGACTCCGAGGCAGAGGCTACCCAGAGCTTGGCAGGAAGCTAGCCTCATCCTGTGGCCCATTTGAATTTCCCAAAGATAATAACACTGGCTGCAGAGTATCCGCCAGGCACCTGGAGACAGACGACCAGTGTCTGCGGGGTAATAGTTTGTGTCAGAGTAAACTGGAATTTCTATCTCAGGAGGCAGATAATCCCCGTTAGAGCTCGGCGACGTCCCTGGGACTGGAGGCATTTGTGCAGGCTGCTCTCTGAAGACAGAAGGAAGACAG